TTATACTCATTCACGAAAGTGAATCAGTATATTGGTTTTGTGCAATGTCCGTCTTGCTGTCCGTCCGTCTGTCCGTCTGTCCGTCTGTCCGTCCGTCCGTCTGTCCGTCTGTCCGTATGAACGCAATCTATTTCGGCGCTATTGAAGCTAGAGACTTGAAATTTGGAACACATACTCGTGTATATCTCCGATTTATAAAGTGTTAAAATTTTCCCGATCCGCCCACTAGGGGCGTGGCAAATCGGAAAATGCATTTTCCGATATACCAGAAATCATGTTTGTTGAAGAGCTAGAAAGCTGAAACTTGGTATGTAGGTCCGCGTTGACCACCCAAGATCACGAGCTATGGCGGATATATCTACGCCCATTGGGGGCGTGGCAAATCGGATAAAACTGTATCTCCTAAAGTTGTAAACCTAGAATGCTGAAATTTTGCACGTCAGCTAATGGTATGATTCTATAAAGTCTGAAGATAAATTATAAGTCTACGCCCGTTGGGGGCGTGGCAAATCGGACCTGAAGATATAGTGATTTTTTAAATTCTCCTATATTTTGGACACTATTGATGGCAGAGACCTCAAATTTTGTATATATACTCGGACTGATCACCCAAGACCAAAAAGTTTTGTCGGATATATGTCCGCCCACAGGGGGCGTGGCAAACCGCAAAAGTTTATATCTCCTAAAGTATAATAGCTAGAAGCTTCAAATTTGGATAGTTGAGTTACTGGTAGCCTCCTCTATCGATTCCCCAAAAATAATTTTTACGCCTCTTTAGGGGCGTGGCATATCGAAAAATACCCTGTAATTTTCACATTTTTTTAGGGTAAGCATTCAAACTTTGCAGTTAGGGTAACGTTATCTCTTTCTAAAAACTGACCAAAAATGAGGTGTCTACGCCCAGTTGGGGCGTGGCAAATCGGAAAAACCTGTATATTCTACAGTATTAGAACGAAACTTAACTACTAAATTGTTGATGGGATGTGAATGAGTATTCCGCAGTCGGTAACGCCCGACTGCAACGTTCTTACTTGTTTTTTTTT